AGAAATAAATGCACATATTTAATAATCATGTTTATGAACAAATGATCCCAGGAAATAATCAAAACAATCTAGTGATTCATGAGTAGAGAGATCCCTATTACTTGATAGATTGTGTCAGAGAAATAGAATTATTTTCAACAAACCGGTATAAGGGAATTTCTGCCTCAATTGGGAAATTGTGGCTTAGAACTTCTATAGTCAATTAAAATTCTCCCTGTGATACACTGAAAGCTATTTTGTGCCCTTGAGTATGCAAAGGATTATTCACTTTTTCCCACAAACACTAAGGTATTTAACTAAGGTATTTAGTTAAAAAAAAAAAACTATCTAAGATGCCTTATTTGTTACTTGAATCTGATGCTCAGACTTTTGTAATACTCTGTGGTTCTAAGTAATGGACAAATCATCATCTAAATTTGAGACACATACAGAAGGATTGCCCCCACTGTCCCTTCCTGCCACAAACTCCTTATTAAAAATATCATAGTCTACCTGTGCTTGTTAAATAAAATAGCTATTAACCCATGTTTGACATAGGGCTTACCTCTTATTGATAAGTATCAGTGATAGATGGTTGCAAGAAACAATAATTTGACTTTAATATTTTTAGCTTCATATTTGCAGAAAATATGGTAGCAAACAGAATAATGGCCCCAAAAGTGGTCTACATCCCAATCCCTGGAAACTGCAAGTATGTTACCTGATATGGCATGAAAGAATTAAGGTTGCAGATGCAATTAAAGCTGTAAATGTGCTCACTTTAAAAAGATTATCCTAGATAATATGTGTGGACCTAATGTAATCACAAGGGTACTTAAATGGAGGCGGTAGAAGAGGCCACGCCAGAGAGATGACATTGTGAAAAAGAATTCACTGGCCTTTGCTAGTTCTGAAGTTGATGGGGAGCCATGAGCCAAAAAATAAAGACAGTTTCTAGGAGCTTAAAAAAATACACATTCCCCTGGATCCTCTATAATAGGAACCCAGTCCTGCCGACTCCTTGATTTTAGCCCAGTAAGACCCACTTCAAAGTTGTAATCCAAAGTCTTGCATCCAAAATTACAAGATGATAAGTTTTTATTGTTTTTTACTGTTTGTGGCAACTTGGTACAGTAATAATAATAAGTATAAAAAAAACTAATTGGTTAATTGGCAGGACATGCCAATATAAATTACATGGGGCATAAGGAGAGCTACTCTTTTAATAATCAAGGGGCACTGTCACAATGAACTCTTTCCACTTCAGGGCTTTTCCTGCTGCTCTGCTTGTTAGTCCCTCAGCATCTGTTGCTCCAGTGTTTGCTGATTGCTCTTCTTTATGTATCATATTTACACTCACTGAGAAAGAGCATCCCTTTGGGTTGACCAGTCACCATTCCAGCTTAGGAAACTCCAATTAGACAGATCTCTTTAGCAGGCCCCCTCCTGGACAACTGGACAACCTATACATGGCTTCCCCTCAATCAGATTAGCTATTTTTTAATTAGCTAAGACCATAATCAGAATCACACAGTGGAAAGCATGCTAAAAAGCCTATGCAAAAGGAAAAGAGAGTAATATGATCAGCTAGCATCCCACATAAGCACTCTAACTCCTAGAACTTTGTGTTGCATGTCCACATCTATTTGCAAGGGAAGCCAGGAAATGCAATATATCTTCTTTTCCAAAGCAAAAGAAAGTGGTATTTTCTGAACAACTAGAAACTTCTGCCACCATGACTGGGCAAGCTGTTTCACTTCTTATAGCTCCTGCTTTATCATTTGTAATACTAATAGTTGCATTAATAATAGTTCTTACTCCACAGAACTACCAGAAGGCAAAAATATACCTGACACAGAATAAGCAGTCTTAATAAAAGATAGCTACTATTTTGAATATTATTTCAAGGTGAATATACTAGTGCCATTAGAATAGCAGCTGAATTTTGTATATAAAACAATATAATTTTAGTACCTATATGTGCCACTGATATGAATATATAGTTAGTATTTTGTCATGGATCTCTGTACCCCATCACTAATAAAACATTTATTATCAGAAATCATCTGTGCATTTATATTTTCCAACTGCACGAACCATTCACTTAGATAGTCTATTCTTCAATTTATTTACAATACAGAGTATCCTTAAGAACTTCAAATGCATCTGTTGAAATAATTCCATGTTTTCACTATACTCCTTGAAATAAGAATCATGGCAATTGATTCTTAAATCAATTTAAGAATATTTTTGATATAGGTCCTCATTTTAATATGAATCTTTGTAGTAGAATTTACAAAAATCTCTAGGTTCAAAAGATCTCATTTCTCATCTCATGGTGTGGTTCTTGAACCCAGGCTACCCTGGTTCCCTTTACAATGTTCCTACTGAGCTCTCATTCTGCTGGAGTCTGAACGCCGCTGCCTCTTAAGGATACACAATGGTTCTTGGACAATTCTGACTACAATAAAATATGTCCTCAGGATAAACCCCAAATCCTGCAACCTGGTTATGTCTATCTCTTAGGTCAGATTGTACCTGTTGTGTGTGGCACACGTGATTATTCTCCTAAATGCCATTCTTTTAAGTGTTTAAAGGTGGCAGCAGTTTTTAATTAATCTTCTTGTATCCAGCGTAAATGTTTCCAGTTCCTGCCGTTCCCACATTAGAAGGCTAAGAATGCCCATTTGCTGTCATTTTGTTTTCCATGAACTTTCTCTTATTTAGCATAAATCTCTTAAAATCCATTCTTGGGACAAAGGTGACAGATATAACTAGCATAGAGCAAGAGTGTTCTATGCATTCCCTCTGAATAGTGCTATATTTCAAACACTAGCATTTTCTTAGTCACATTAAATAAAGCTAGCAGATACTATGTGATTCCACTGTGTGGTTTTATCTAGGACAGAACTTAGAAGGCCAAATATAACGGAAAAGGAGGAAACTGCAAAAGTCTATTATTTGAGAATTGTATAAACAATGGTGTGTCTCGAAGTCACAAATTCCTGGCAAAAGCAATCTACAAAGATTATAGACATACAATTCCATACAGTGGGTGTTATATTTATTTCTTCATAACACTTATTCTATATTAAAGGCATAGATGTTTAACTCAGTTAAAACTCACTGGACAATATCTACACTTTGGAGATATTTAATACTGATTAACATCTCACAAATACTGCTTCTCAGAAAACTCTACATGACACTGGTGCAATCAATATTTTACAAAGTAGATAGAGAGAGGAAATTTTCTAAATTTTCCACCCACCTATTTATCAGCTCTAAGATCACACCACCCACACAGGTGTGTGCCTCTAGACTAATCCAGATTTTCCCTACTTGTAGAAGTACATCTCATACAGTATGACTCAGAAAGAGGAGTGAAGCTTTCATACGTCTTCCTCACTAATAAAAGAAAACTAATAATTTCTAGTCTAAATTGCCTTTGCATAGTTATTTTAGATTATCACTGTATTTTGTATTATATGGGGGCATTAAAAGAATGTGTGGAAATCATGCTTTCATAAAGTCACTTTAAAAGCTCATTCTCTTAATATTTTTTGACAGAGAAAAGAAAAACAGGTAATGGTGGCAAATTATCTTTCACACAGATGAACTCGAAATCCTTTTGAATCAAACATGTCCCAGTGAAATGGAAAGACTAATCCCAGTGTCCTGGAGGAGTTCACATAAATAGGGAATGGAAGCCCATTTTCTACACCCCCAAAATTTGAAAGTTTATTATTTGACCCTTGCATTCCCCTCACATGGAAAAATTATGTTTCCCTACCAGAGAGCTTCTACCAGCACATGCATCCACGATCACAGCTTATTTATGATACCAAACAGGCAAGATGAAAAACCCTGCACCCTATATTCTTTGAGTGGCTGATCTTTGATCTTTACCCCCAAAGAGAGTCCTTCAGCAAATTCCTCTAAAGGCATTTCCATGACCTGCTGGGCTCCCATATCATTTCTATTTTAAAACGCTTTGCTAAACTCCTTTATTTTTAATAAAATATTACTGTTTCCACTTTGGCCCATTGAAGGGCCAAGAGTTCTTCTCCAGTTCTTCCTGTTCTCACATCTGATTTCACATAAAAGTAAAACAAGTTAAAGGGACTGGTGCAGTAAAATTCCAAGACACTCAGAGGAAACATGCCTGAGGCAAATTAAGCTTAGAGGACAGTGCTGAGCATGTGGTGTTTGCTAATCACAACTGTTTGGGTCAAGTAATGGAGCTGTGAGCCTGGTGGGTAAATCTGCATTTTTTGAAGCCTGCTTCTCTCTGGTGCTTGCATCTCCTGGCCCGTTCCCTAGTCCTCAGCAGAACAGGCTTTTGGTAAATGTTTGTGGAACTGAATTACCTGAGTTATAAAAAGTAATGACAGTGCTGAATGACAGAAACGTGCCAAGGATATGACTGAGGAATGTCAGGGATGCCTTCAACTGGAAATCACAAAAGACATGGGATCTCTTTTGTGAAATAACAGTCACATCATCATACTAAAAATAGATTTACCATTTACTCAATGGTGCTTTGAAAGTGTTTTATAGCGAATTCTAAAAATGTTTTACACACAGTTTACATTTAATCCTCACAAGAACCCTGAAAGGTGAGTAACAGTGATCCCAGGGCCAGACGAAGGTGGTGAAGTTCAGGTTCTCCTGCTCCTGTGTACCCTGGAGCACAGAGCCAGGATCAGGCAGAGCTCTGACCCTTCGCTGACAGCCTTGCCACAGTCCTGTGCCCGTTCCTTGTTTTCTTGGAGCCTCCACATAGCATTTCTCTCATCAGAAATTCCAGCTATTTCCAAAAGGGAAGCATTTTCCAAATCATGCTCCAAATCTCTCTAACTGTACAAAGAGATGACTTGGAAACTCTAGGTGAAGTTGTTCAAAATCACTATCCTGGAGAACATCTACCACGTAACAGAACTGAACACTCAGAGATGGGTCAGCAGCCCTCAAGGGAAGAGAGGAGGATGGGCTGCCTCAGAGATGAGGAACCTGCAAACCTGTAGCTCAGGGTGCCTTGCTTCTCATCCTCTTGAAATGCATGACCTTCCTCTTCCTTGTGGTAGTGATGTTACTTTGGTATATGAATAACCGCCTTCAGTCCAGGCATTTCTATTAGAGCACTGAGATGCTTCTCTTTCCACACAAGCTGTCAGCTTTATTTCATATTTATTCCAACTCCATTATCCGTTCCATTTAATGCCTCTATGAGTCTGTAAGAACAACAACAACAAAAGTGAACCATTTCTTTGTAAACATATATGTATTTTATTCCAAAAGTAATCACCATATTTACATATTCATTAAAATTGCCACTCTCCATAACATGGGGACAGTAGCTAATGGCATAATTTTAACTTTGTGCATGATCAGTTCTGCATAAACAAAATAAAAGTATTAACTTTATGTCCCTAGCAAATGTAAAGAGGAAAAGCACAGGCATATTTCATTTAAAAACTTTAAGAAAACAAGCTAACAAGTATTGTCAAAAGAGAATGTTCTAAAATATAATTAAAGCTAATATTCTAAATTTAATTATTAAAAAAAATAAAAGCTGGTTCTTGGGGGGAAAAAGAAGAAAATATGCAAAGCTCTAAGGAGATCTAAGAAATAAAAGAAGACAGCAAATAAAAAAAATGAAATTACTAAAGGCTACACTACACAGATAGAATTATGTAGATAGTCCTAAGAGCATACTACATGCCATGTAGTCCAAAAATTCAGAAGTTGGTTAAATTAAATTTTCTAGAAAAATAGATGTAACCAATAATTCAGGAAGTAGGAGAAACAGAGATAAAAATGTTAAAGACTAATTGTAAAAGTTGATTGAACTATTAGTTCCCCTCAAATTCTCAAGTAATACCTAATTTTCTCCCCACATGAATTTTGGTGGAGCATATGAAAAAATAGGAAGCTACCAAGTTCAGTTTTTAAAGCCATCCTAATGATGCAATGGAAACCTAAGAAAAATACCATGAAAAATATATTGACCCATCTGAATGTGAAAATGGTTCCCAAAATTCTAAATAAATACTAACCACAAATTAAACCATATATTGATGGAACATTGAGCTCTGAACATGACCAAAAAAAAGCTCTGTAAAATGAATATAGTTTAATAGTAGGAAAATCTATTAATATGACATTTCAAATCAATTAGGAAAATAAGAAAAATCCTATTATCTCAATAGATGAGAAAAAATGGATAATATACAAAAATCTATTCCTCATCAATTTATAAAAAGTAAAACTCTTTTAAAACAATGGATAAAGGCAGAGTTCCTCTTGTATATTTTCTACTTGCCTCAGGCTTACTCTAAAAATTTAACAATACAGAAATCTATATGTTAAAAAGTCCTTAACACCATGCTGGGGCTGGGGCTCAGTGGCAGAGCACTTGCCTCATGCATGTGAGGCACTGGGTTCAATCCACAGCACCACATACAAATAAATAAACAAAATAAAGATATTGTGTCCATGTATAACTAAAAAATATTTTTAAAAAATCCATAACCTATCTGCCTCCCACACGTGTTACTTCTCAAAAGATAAGCACTAGCAGATTAGTATGTAAAACAATGAATTAGACAAATGAAACAAATGTGCTAATGTGTAATATACAAACACAGGTTTATAACATGATTCGTGTCTATGAATCAAAGTGTATATAACAGCTACAAAGAGAGAGGGAAAATATCAATAGCATACAAAGTACATTGCAAATAATGCCACAATGTAAAAATGTACTTTTACACTGGTAAGAATAGGAGGAATTGTTGACTTGAAGGGTAAATACACATTAGTGTTAAATGTTTATAACTATTATGAATTGCCTATCAAAAAGTTTGTGTTGATTTACTCCTACATACAGTATATAAGAATTCATTGTTTTCAATTCACCAATATTGATTAGTTTCAGTCTTGGGAAGCAGAAAATAATGGTGTTTCAAAACACAGCTAGAGAGACACATCCTGGATTCAAATTCATTCTCTACTACACACAACCTGTATAATCTTGAGGTTTACCTCTTCTATACACCAATACCTCCTCTTTTATGACAATTAAGATTGCTCATAAATCCGGGTGATGGTACACTGGTACACACCTGTAATCCCAATGACTCAGGAGGCTAAGGTAGGAGGATCAAAAGTTCTAGGCCAGCCTTGGCAACATATTGAGACCTTGTCTTAAAAAAAAAAAAAACAAATAAATAAATTAAAAGGGTAGGGTATGTAGCTCAGTGGTAAAGTACCCCTGGATTTAATCCTCAGTGATGGGGTGGGGTAGGGGAGGTGAAGGGAAGAAGAAAATAAAGAAATTGCTCATAAAATGTCCTTTTCAACCTATTTTAAATTTAATTACCCTATAAGATATATATATATATCTTATATATATGATATTAACATATATATGTATATATACATATATATGATATTAACTCTTTGCCTCCTAAGTAAGATACATTTTAAAATTTATGTTTGTAATTGGCACTTTATTTTTAAAGCCATTTTCCTAGTACCAACTTTAACATTCTTTAGGGTTAAAGCCTTGGTTTTATATAGTCTGCTTAAGAATTTCATATAATTTTAAAGAATCCTTTAGCATATCCTAAGTAATACAAGTATTTTAACCTATTATGTTTTACTGTAATTTTTTCATAATTGTTGGCTACATTTATGTCTTCAATATATTTGATATTTTGTGTGTGTATGATATGATGAAATTGATGTCAGTTTTTATCAGAGATTGATAGACAATTATATCAACACTATTTTTTAATTGAGGACATAATTGGAAAGCTAACATTGGTTTTATAAATAAATGTAAATTTTAAAAAATACAAATATATATTTAGATTTCTTTTTTCAGTAGCACAGATATATTTATTTTTCCTGCACCATAGAACACTTTCAAAATTATTCTAGTTTATCGATGTTGAATTTTCTTGGGACCAGTTCTCCCTTTTTAAAAGTCTTAACTACAAGTTACACAAAGGCAATCACCCTGCCTGATGAGCTTCAGAATCATCTGATCAGTTTACATAAGAGTTCTCCTGGGACATCCATCTGTAATGTATTATATTTATATATTAATTTATGGAGAATTGATTATCTTTGCAACTTTGAGTCTTTTCAACTAAGAATTAGTATGTTTCCCCACTAATGGCAGTATTTTTAATGCTCTATGTTAAAATTTTGTGATTTTCACATATATAATGCATATTTTTGTCAAGTTTATTTGTAGTTAGCCTTTTTTTATAGTCATTAAAGGAATCTATTTTCTATTTTCAAATTTGTTACCAACAGAAAAATAGGAAAACCACTGACTTATGTATGCAGGTAAATACTAACTCATATACATCTCAAATCAGCAAATATCTATCTTAAGTCAGCACACTTAATACTGATATATTAGATGCTTCTCAATAATAGGTTTAAAAAAAGCTAGCTAAATGCTTTCACTGTTAATATTTAGCCTTGTTCTTTTAAGTTCTGACCAAAACAACAAAACATGAAACAGTAAAAGTAAGTTACTTTGTGGTGTCTGAGTAGGATTGCCTCCTGCACTAAGCAGTTGTCCCTGGCCTATGGCTACAGCCCAAGGTAAGTAGGCGCTGACATCACCCATGTTGTGCTGCACACACCATACTCTCTGGGGGACTGCATCTTTGTTCAGATGTTCCTCAAAGCTTCAAGCCACCACCATGTGGATACATCTGCCTGGATAAAGCACCTTTTAACTCTGTTTTTGCACAGCAATGACTTACTGGCTAGCACAGTACTAAAACTGAGGAAACAAATTAGTATAGCTCTGCAGGATGGTCCCTTGTTTAACAAGGGACCCAATATAAGAATGTTGTCCCATAAGAGTAGGTCACCTAGTTTGTGTGAGTCCACTCTGTGATATTCACAGTTTTTAGATCACCTAATAACACAGTCCTCAGAACATGTCCAATCATTGAGTGACACATGATTCTAACATTATTTTTAGGTAATAGTTCACTTAAAAATCTGAGAAAAAACTGGAAATGTATTGATCATTAATAAAATAATACTAAAACATCACATATAAAGAACATAGCTATTTATGTCGTGGCAAGAAGTTTAAATACATAATTTTGTAGAAGCTGTTCATCATGGCAGCCTAAAGCACAAAACTCTCATGAGTACATTTACAAAAGAACATATGACTCAAGTAAATTAGATTGTATGATTGCTGAATGATATGAAAGAGGATTTGAGAATATGAAAATCAACAATTTTCTATATATCCAGAAAAAATAGAAATTTTTAATGAGAAAAAGCATTCTCATTCATAGAAATTTTTCATAGGAAAAAAATGGATTTTCTTTCAAAGGAGCAAAACTGAAATAAACACAAGGGCATTTTTGAAAGGCCTAAGCCAGACTTTGCTTTGTAGACAGCTCTCCAGCCCACTTGGCTTCTCCCAGCAGTTCGCAATACCCTGGTTACAAAGGGGAGCTGTGGAGGGAGCAGAAGTCTCAAGTTAGAGCAGCGCCAAAAGAAGAAAAATGTCAATGACGTTTATGGCTTCTGAACTGGCTCCTTGACCTCAATTTGACCTCTTACATTTAGAGAAATGAGAACCAAAACTATTTTTCATGACCGACTTAGTGAAATTCTGAGCAAGGAATGATGGGCAGAAGCCGACCTCTTTGAGGCTCTGGACACAAGTGCAGTTGCCTCTGGGTCCCGGAGGCCACGTGCAGAGCACAAATGGGGGCAGAAGGCACCACTAGTTGTCTTTGCATGAGTGCTCACCCTATCTGTGGCCTGCAAACACTAAGAGAATGTGGATATGGCTCTTTGGCAAGGGCTTGCTGTAGGGAAGAGAGAAAACACACTACCAGAAGAAGCTAGAGCAGAAAAAGAAACATATAGAACACAGTTTCTGGGTATCAGCACCATTGATTTTTTTTTTAATTTTTATTTATTTATTTTTAAGTTTTCAGCAGACACAACATCTTTCTATGTGGTGCTGAGGATCGAACCCGGGCCGCACACATGCCAGGCGAGCGCGCTACCGCTTGAGCCACATCCCCAGCCCAGCACCATTGATATTTTGATTTGGATAATTCTTTGTTAGTGAGGGGCAGACAACTGTCTTGTGCACCATCAGAAATTTAATAACTTCTACCAGCTACTTATTGGTGGTAGCACCTTCATCCCCAGTAGTGGCAACAAAAA